CTCTGCAGTGAATGGGTGCCGTCAGAATGAGAGTCTAAACAGCTGATAAAAAACATCACAATAAAACACAAGTAATCCACACCACTCCAGTCCATCAGTTAACATTTTATAAAGCCAAAAGCTGTGTTTTAGTTGGAAGCAATGGCTTGAAGTAAAAAAACTATTTGAAGAGTTCATTTGCAAAAACACATAACAAAAATGTTCAAAAATCATGTTTTTTTTTATCCTGCATTCCAATTAATACCAATCAAACCGCAGTTGGGTTGTTTTGATTAAATAATAATAACTAAAAAAATACAGCTAACTAACACAATAAAAACACGATAGCACATAAAAAAACATGATTTATAAAAATTAATAAAAACAGAGTTATCTATTTTTGCCAAAAAAAAACAAAACTCTTCATTTGTTTCTCACAAGCTTCACAAGACATTAATTGATGGACTGGAGTGGTGTGGATTACTTGTGGATTATTGTGATGTTTTTATCAGCTGTTTGGACTCATTCTGACGGCACCCATTCACTGCAGAGGATCCACTGGTGAACAAATGATGGAATGCTAAATTTCTTCAAATCTGTTCTGATGAGGAAACAAACTCATCTACATCTTGGATGGTCTGATGGTGAGTGCATTTTCAGCAAATTTATTTTCGCGGGTGAACTATTCTTTTAATGTGGTTGTGCCGTTTTGTGAAATGTGAAGAGGAGAGAAAGCTTTTTACAGGCACAACAGATTGACACACACACACACACACACACACACAGACTCAGAACAGCCTGCATTAGGATTCTGCTCCTCATTCTGCTCTTATCTTCTCTGTTCTGCTGCCTTCGCTGTGTACATTTGTTTTACATTAAAAAAAAAGTTTCAGTTTCCTTTATTATATGCATAAATTTAATGTCAGAATGGGTGCTGGAGGGAAAGCGGAGAACAGTTTTGATGCAGAAATGTGTTCTGTGGATATTATGCTTCCACACAGGAAGTGTAAAAATGCTGTAAATAATTGAAAGCTGACCTGTTGTGTGTATGTGTGTGCGTTTATGTCTGAAGGAGCTCTTGCGGTTTCCCAAACTGCATGACTCGATTGTGGAGGTGGTTACCAGCTTACTCAGGAAACGCCTGCCCATTACCAATGAGATGGTAGGAGCACATGCCTGTAGCTGCACAGTCACACCAACCACTTACACTTGCCTCGAGGCTGTGTGTTACAGTAATTTATTCATGAGTAAGGGCTGTTCTTAGACCAAAATGTATAAATAATTACATTTATTAATTATAATCTGAAACGAGAGGACAAAGTCTTCACTCTCTTTTAGATAAGTTTTTAGTCCAGTTTAAAATTGATCATTTAAACAGTGTTTCAAGTTTCTGACCTTAATTGTGTGCTTATATTGACACTTTTTTTTCAATCATAATGTTATCAAATTATGTGACATCAAGTTTGTTTTAGAACATTTTAATGTTGTTTTTAGAATTGAAAAAAAACAAAAAACACTACAATAATATAGCACCAAACATATTTCATGCAGTTTTTACGTGTTAACATAAAACCTATTTTGGCTGTTATTATTAATAGCCACCTCCTTTTCAGAATATCGGTCATTAGATCCTTGATAAACACCACAAGTGTCAAGATGTTGAGCAAGTCTGTTAGGCTGCATTTGCAGTGCAATACCTAATGCACAGATCTGTATTGAGACATTTATCTGAATCATTTTGTCCCCCTCTTTACGTTCATATGTATGTATGGTAATGCTTCAGTCACGTCACTTTCACTTTCACAGTTTAGGGACTAGTTTTCACAATTAACAAGTTGCTTGTGTATTACTAGCATTATTGGCTGTTTGTTAGTACTTAATAAAGCACATAATCCCTAATCTCTACCCCATATCTAAATTTAACAACTACCTTACTATTAATAAGCAGTAATTAGGAGTTTATTGAGGCAAAAGTCATAGTTATTAGTGAGACCTTAAAATAAAGTGTGACCATATGAGGTTATTAGTATCATGGTTAGTATTGGATATATAATTGTGTATGCTCATTCCCCACATTTTTACATTTTTACAATCTTCATCAAATTTTAACAAAATAAATCTGCATTTTTCATACAATACATTATATTGTTGTGATGCCTAAATTCACATTGTGAGTTAAAGTTAAGGTGAAACCACTGCTTAATCTGTGTGGAGAAATAATTCACCCTCACACAAAATTCCTATTGAAATAACTGGATTTTACCAAAAATCCACAGTTCGGAAATTCACCAAACATAAACAGTGGTAAATGTTTATGTGGTAAATGTGATCACGTCATAACTGATTTTAATTTTTAGTGTTGTGTTCTAAATTTATTAAGATAAAATAGTGTATAATGTTAATATTGGCCATTTATCGGTTATCAGTGGTAACATTAAAATAATTATTGCCTTATTGATATCACCAAATATTATTAATATTTTTTTTTTCATTTATTGTTATCAGTCAGTATTGGATATGTAATTGTGTGCATGCTTATTTCCCCAATTGTTACATTTCATTTAGCTTTGCCATCATCCAACACTAACTCTAACAGCACCATTAATTGTAATCTTTATCAAATTATGCAATTATGCCATTTCTGCAAAATTCCACAGGCAATAGTATACTGATTTATTTAAATGTAATTATGTAATATCATGCATATTGGTGGTAACTGAAAAAGATTATCGATACCAACATCTGCCTGAATTTTAATTCCGCAAACACACACACAATATATAAAAATCCTGCGCGCATGACACATTCAGAGCACAGTTTTGGCTAATTCTGAAAATGTGTCGTCATGTTAACTCATGTTTGCTTCTTCTCAGGTTCATAATCTAGTTGCAATCGAGTTGGCCTATATAAACACCAAACATCCTGATTTCACAGACGCTGCCCAAGTGTCTGCATCTGTCAACAGCCAGCAGGTACTGAAACTCTCTCTGTCTCTCCGTCTTTCTCTCTCCAAATCCAAACGGGAGTAGTTTTTGTTTTATCGTCTCTTTCACAGGCGGAGGCTGGGGATGGAGGTAAGCGATGGAAGAATGAGAAGATGCCGTCAGAGGACAAAGGCCCCGTGCCGGGGTTTGGGAGTCCCACTAAAGCCATCAACCTGCTGGACACGGTACTATCTCATAACTACAGAAGCCAACAATACCTGCACGTTCAGAGAAAACCCGTGAAAGACGAACAACTTCTGAAAATGTTTCTGTAGGCCGTGCCAGTATCCCGCAAGCTGAGCACTCGAGAGCAGAGGGACTGTGAGGTCATCCAGCGGCTCATCAAGTGCTACTTCCTGATCGTGCGCAAGAGCATCCAGGACAGGTCAGATTCATTGTGCCACATAACTGGATGACTAGGAGTCACTTCGCATCTGATGCTTTTTTTTCTGCGTTCTGTAGTGTGCCAAAGACGGTGATGCACTTCCTGGTGAATTTTGTGAAGGAGCATTTGCAGAGTGAGCTGGTCGGTCAGCTCTACAAACAGCGTCTGCTGCAGCAGCTGCTCATCGAGTCTCAGGAAACTGCTCAGCAGCGCACAGAGGTTGCACACATGCTGGAGGTACGTCTGTGTGTGTTTGAAGTACATTTAAACCTTATAATGCATTGGGGTCAGATTTGACCTGGAAGAAATGAATAAAAATTATTGGTTTTAGAACAGGAACCAGGCTGTGCAAATAGGCCAAGACGATCAAAATACACATCAGTTATTTATTTTTTTATTTATTAAAGAGTTTTTTTAAATTACGTGTTTCTCTCAAAAATATTGAACTTTTTTTTTTCCTCTTATTTCCCAAACACTTTTGGGACTAAATTTTGTTGGTAAACTTGAATATACATGCCTATTGAGAAACCACTGCTGCATGAAAAACTAATATTTTTCGTCTAGGAGTAAAAATGTACAGTATGTCAGTAATATGTATATGTTTAGTTTTAATACACTCCAGATTAATATTGATGTTGTTTTGGTAGACAATTAATATGTAGATTTGTGAAGACTTGTAGATTAATATGTAGCCATTAGGGCTGTCAAAAAAAATTCGAATTTTGAACATTCGTCGAATATAAAATAAAAATCGACATTCGAATGCGAAACCGTTGCATTCGAATTTTAGGTGTGCGTTAAGGAGGCAGCCTTATCAGTGGCGCACGAGATGCGATGACGATGTAAGTGTCGTTGCATTATAATGTTTTTCTTAGCTTATCCAGTTGAAGCCTCTAGATGCGGCGCTGCTGCGTTGTTCATTAAAAATATAGCGGAAAAAGAGAACATCAATGCAGAGAAGATCTTGTTTACATCAAAACCGAAACCAAGCCATTCACACAGAAGCTGCATGTTTAGAAAGCCATGTAAAATTAATGCAAGTTTAACTTCGAAAAAAATATATATCGAGACTTTTTTCCCCATCTCACTGCATCTCATGTTTTTAATTGAAAAATGTACTCTGTGTGATTGGCTTTCCGCCCTTTGTATTAAACTATGCATACATACATGATGCTGTTTTGTTTATAGTTGTTTAAGCAACTTAATTATAATTGGTTTATAAACATTATTTTAAACATTTTGCACTTTTTTTCGCAGATAGTCATGCTATCGTATGCTTTGAATGATGCGCCCTCTTGTGGGCTCAGGAGAGAAGCCAAAAGCTTTTCTTCACCCTAACTGAAATTATGCATTTTAAATTCGAATATAATTCGAATTTTGATAATATTTAAGTACAAAATTCGAATTTAGTTTTTCAGCCATTTTGACAGCCCTAGTAGCCATGAGCTAAAAGGAATTTAGTAAAAACCATTTCATTTAATACTGGTAATTCTCATGTTTTTATACATTTCATACAATGATATATTCAAATAACATTTCTCATAAATATTAATAAATTATTATTTTCTTGCATCACACTTTTGCTGTATAATTTGTAATTTGAAAGATTTTCTAATAATGTTTTTTTTTTAACTTTATTTTAATGTGTCCTTGTTACACATTACATGTACTTACTACTATAATAACAACAAATTATGCATAACTACATGCAAGTAACCTTAAACCAAACCAAACCCTAATCCTAACCCTTACCATAGAGTAAGTACATGTAGTTAATCAGTGCTATGTATAATTACACTGCAACAAGGACACCTTAACATAAAATGTAACCAAAAATTAATAAAAGCTAGTAATCTGTTAATAACATGGTAACATTCAAAACTATAAAATATTTGCACATTCACTCATTAATGAGGTATGAACGTTTTATAACTTTTATAAGTTTAATGGCTTCTGAATAGAAAACCATATGCATATTTTGAATGCATTACTACTACTTGTGGTTATATATATTTTTTGCAGCAGCGTTTCAGTTCGCATGCTGAGAGTCTGCTGTGCTGTGTGTACTCTCATAAAAGTTGTCTTTAAATCCATCCCATCTTAAGCACCGCCACAACAGCCATACTCATCAAGGCGGGCGTCTTTGGCAGTTTCAGATGCCACGTCTAGTTAATAGTTTTCAGACTTTTAAAAACGAGACGCCTCTTACAATCCATTGCACTTAATTGCTGGTGTGTGGTGGGTGTTCTGACGCACTATAGCAAATGTTGCATGTCAGCCATGCATTGTGTACTCTTATGCGATGTCTAGCTGTTTTTGAGCACAATAATGTGTACTGTGTGCACAGTGTGTGTCTTCAACAAACATTCAACCATATTAACTATCAGTGTTGGGGAGCTACTTTGAAACCGCAGACTGTCAGGCTACAAGCTACTCATGATCAATGGACTGTAGTAGTAACACATTTTGTACACAAGGTGTTAGTAAGCTAATAAAAATAGCAGACAATAAGTCTTACTCACTAAACGTGTTTGTACACACTTTTGTGTAAAAACTGCATATGAAAGTGTGGTAACACTTTATTTTAAGGTTTAATTCTCACTGTTAACTACTTGCTTAATAGCATGCATATTACTAGCATATTGGCTGTTTATTAGTACTAACTATTAATAAGCAGCAAATTAGAAGTTGATTGAGACAAAAGTCATAGTTAATAGTAAGATTTAGTCTCTAAAGAGTAACTGATAGTGTTCATACAAAAATCATGATTCATCAGTAGGTTGCACTAAAATGTATTCTAAACCAACTGAAATTACATCTAAACAAAAACTTCACATTTACACTGGTCTTAGAAATAAGATAAGCCAGTTATTTTTATTATTTTTTAAATAGTGTATAGTATTGGTGTGTATTTGTGTATAGTATATAGTAAGTGTATAGTATTAGAGATGGAAACTAAGTTGAGTCAAGAGCAGTGTTTCTCAACTGGTGGGTCGCAAGACCGCTCTGAGCGGGTCACGGAGTGTACAGTCAAAGAAACAACAAAAAACGTAATTCTAAATGTTTTTCTGATGCGAGACTTTTATTTTAAAAGACGTGCATGAAAGCTGTTGTCGACACTTCTGTCAGATGCAGTTTAAGTAAAGAGTGCCTGAGAAAAGCGCTCTGTCCCGATTCAGTGTCTGCGGTCTGATGAGATGTTGTCAGGCTTAATGTCAGTGTCATTATCCTATCGTTATTTTCGTAACTTGTTACGAAATAAAAAGTCTCTCACCTCAGAAAACGAACTATTCTGTCCTGTCAGACGTTATACCGTGCATGTGGTGCGCACTCGTCAATTGCAGCGCGCTGTATATCAGTTCACAGTTCATCAGTTACATAATATATCTGTGTGTACTGTGTATATTTATTATGTGTATATAAATACACACACATACAGTATATATTTAGAAAATATTTACATGTATATATTTATATTCATATAATTTATATTATATATTAATATATTTAATATATAAACATAACATATTTTTCTCAAATATATATATGCATGGTTGTGTATTTATATATACATAATAAATATACACAGTACACACATATTGTCACGCTTCACACAATGAGGACTGGAACGAAGGAGCGAGGAGACGAGGGATAAACTTCAACATGGACTTTAATACAACGAACGCAGGGAAAACTAGAAATCATGGGGGGCGCTCTGGAGGAGCGGGCACTTGAGGGCACGCTGGAGAGGATTCAGGAACTGCACGGGGACAGGAACCCTCACTGGGCTCAACGGGTGATCAAGAGCCCTCCCTGGGCTTAACGGGGGATCAGGAGCCCTCCCTGGGCTTAACGGGGGATCTGAAGCCCTCCCTGGGCTTAACTGGGGATCACACACAAAACATGGAACGGAGTCTGACACATATACTATGTGAACAAAAACTTTTATTTTATTGGTCCCAAGGCCAAACCAGTTAAGAACCACTGCTCTAGAGAAGCATTTGTTATTTAAATAATAATAAGAAGAATGTATTAAAAAAAAATTATTATTGATCATAATTTCTGACCAACAATAAAAATAGCACGAAAAATAGCAACAAATAAAAACAAAAATCTGAGCTGCTGGCAGGTTAACAACAACAAAAAGACTTAGTTAAGTTAGTAGCTTCATAATTTTAGTTTGATATTCCCCAACATGGCTAGTTACTAGGTATTTAATGATCCAGAACCAGCAAGTTTTTTATGCAGTTTGCTTTGTGTTACTAATGCTGCTCTTTCTGCTTTTTCCTTTAGGCGCTCAAGAAAGCCAGTAACATTATCTCAGAGATCCGGGAGACTCATCTTTGGTAGCCAAACGTTCTCATGAACATTCTGTCCAGGAAAGTGTTTACATGTTTGTGCGTGCTGTATGTGTGTGAGTGTACGACATAGGTCAAATACATCATCTGAAGAAATTCAATGCCTCTGCCAGCATGAACATTCAACAAAATGTGTACAGTTTTCCAAATAGCCCTTATTTCTACTGTATATGCACTGATTCCATAGCTGTGTGTTTGACAGAGGTCAAAAGTGTGAGTGCGTTTATACTCAGTAGTGAACATATCAAGTCTATGTCGTTATCTTCAATATCATAAATGCATCGTAATGGTTTTTCGCCATTATGATAAATACTCTTTCAGTTAGCGTTATAAGAATTAAGTAATGTCTCAAATGCTACTAAGGGCATCCCAAGAACAATCGAGCTCTCATACGCTCACATGACTGAAAACAGGAATCACACAATGAACGTCGTTATTTTTTCATCATTTACGCAACATGTCATTCCAAACCGTGTGATACTCTAGAATACAAGAGATGAAAAATATTCACGCTGTTTTTTTTTTCCCATTCAGTGAAAACATTAAAGGCTTTCAAGTTCTGAAATGGACTAAAAGCAACATAAATGTAGCATAAATCATCATAAAAGTAGTTAATGGGACTCATTCATTAGTTTTATGTGAGGAACAGACTGAAATCTAAGTCATTATTCACTGAATATAGATGTGGAATGACATGACGATGAGTAATTGACAGATTTGAGTGAACTATTCCTTTAATACGCTGTAAATATCATGTAATAAATGTGGTGTCCAGATTTACAGTAAATATAAGAAACAAAAAACTGCCCCTTTATTAGATTTGGTTGCATTTGTCCATGTTGGCACAGTTGTATGCTACATATAAGCTTAAGTTATCACAGCCAATATGGGCTAAAAACAAAAGCAGTGCTAATATATTTGATAATGTGAATGAAACTCAAATATGATGTTACATTTAGAATAATTAATGATGTAACGCGTGACTGGTGTCTAGACGTGGTGCAAATAAATAGTAGTGCAGTGTGAAGAGCCACAGAACAAAGAGCCATTGTGTTTGGTTGTGCTCTGAAACACTTCAAACCGCGCTTGAATGTGCCGGAGACTTGACTGCCATGTAATATTTATGCTTGTGTGAATATTTATTGTGAGAGTGAGTACGCCTGTGTCAAAGAAGGTCAAATAAGGAAGAACAAACTAAGATATGAAAACATTGGCTGTTTGACGCATTGAACACCAAGAATGAATAGTGTTTAGTGTCAAATACAAACAGAGCAAAATTAATGCCCAGCACAAATGTGGGCAGTGGGGCTGTAGAGAATTTGGTAGTTATTGTATTGCCTGCTAAAACCAATATTAATTTGTGTGGGTGTTTATGTTGGGGACAATGTTGCATATTCTTTCATTTATTTCTTGTGATGGGACACATTATGCTTCAAACATTATGCACCTCTACCAACCAATCAATCGTAAAAAATAGGCATGCCAGGAAGGGGGATAAATAAAATCAACATAAACATATTTATATGCATTGTCAAATACCTGAAAGCTAATAAGCATGCATTTCTCGTTGACCTCAAACTTTATACTGTTACATTGTGTCCTGCCTCATATTTATTTTTATATTTCAGTGGATATGTGTGACGCAGTGAGGATGTACTGTAGAGGTGTTGTAAATTTCAAGAGGTTTAATCAGTTTACTTATTAGGCTGCTTGAGTGAAGTAGGATCCGTAGAAACGCTTCAGAGGTTGATGGGTTTTAATGAGCCCCGTTGCAATCTCAGCACTAATTACATGATGTATGTTTCCTGAAGCTGAAATCTGCACTGCAGTCTGATCCTGAATAGACTCTAGCAATTTTGTGAATCTCATGGAACCTGTCAATAACATATTCAGGTCATTTTTTGCACTAAAATTAAAAGAAAATATGAAAATCATATTTTGCATCTAGAAAGCCTATTTCTAAAAACATTGGGATTTTGCACTGTAACAATTTTCTTCACAATTAAGCACAGAAATTCCCCAAATTGCCATTATTTTATAGGGGTGGTTGGTTGTGATTTCACTTTTTTAACATTAGTTAGTATGTAATGTTATAGCATAATATAGCTTAAACAATATCTGCAAAATATAGCATAAACAATAAACTAAATATAGCATAAACAATATCTGCAGAGTTACAACACTGAAAGTTCAGTGCAAACGGAGATATCGTCTTTTAAAATGATGGCAGTTTAACGCCTACAAAAACTGTCTTCTAATAAATCTAATGGATTCACAAGTTTCAAAATCAATGTTCTAAAGCAACGGTTCTTAATACTGTTCCTCGCGTTCCCCTGCTCTCTCTCTCTCTCTCTCTCTCTCTCATTCAGCTCATCAGCTCAGCTCCAACAATAAACTGTTCCATTCATACACTTTGTGTACAGACAGACAGATATTTTTCACATAGCTATTATGCAGTTGCGTGCTGTATTAAAGTTTTAATCAGGATAAAACATATATTAAAAGCTAACATATGCAGTAGCATTTACAAATAACAGTGTATCTAAAAGTATGAGACAACAACAAACAAAAAACATACCATTAAGAGCTGTGTGCTTGCACAGGTTCTACGCGATCCTCTTCACTAATATCCTCTGCGTCTCAATCGGGCTCAAATTGATAAGAAATATTGACGATGCCATTGTTTACAATACAACCGGAATGAGAAGCGTTATACATGGACGCGCGTGCAGTTGCCGTACTGTATTAAAGCTTTAATCAGTATAAAACCGTATATTAAAGGTAGAAGCAGTAGCATTTACAAATAACAGTGTATCTAAAAGTATGAGACAACAACAAACAAAAAACATACCATTAAGAGCTGTGTGCTTGCACAGGTTCTACGCGATCCTCTTCACTAATATCCTCTGCGTCTCAATCGGGCTCAAATTGATAAGAAATATTGACGATGCCATTGTTTACAATACAACCGGAGCACATGCCGCTGAGGTGAGGGGCGGGACGTTTCTGAACGTGCACTAGACAGTTTAGTGAATCACAACATACCCATCACTTATTTCTGAGGGAGGGGCTTCATAAAAACAGGAAACACATGTTAGACTACACCTGATAAACACAATCAAGGTTAAAAAAAGTCAACCACACCTTTAACTTAAGAAAAAATCTTATTCTCATAATCATAATACAAGGGAAAAAATCTCATTCTCATTACTCTAATGCAGAAAAAAATCTAATTATCATTACGATAATATCAGAAAAAATATCCCCATTACCATAATGCAGGAAAGAGTACTACTAACATTACTATAATGCAAGAAAGAAAAAAATGTTACTCTCATGACCGCAATACAAAAAAAAAACATATTCACATTAATGTAAAAACAAATCTTATTCTCATTACCATAATGCAAGAAAAAAAACCTGTCATTCTCATTATCATAACAAAAATGTCTTACTCTCATTACCGCAATACTGCAATTTAAAAATTCTATTTACATTAATATAAGAAAAAATCTTATTCTCATTACCATAATGCAAGAAGAAAAAAAACGAATTATCATTACCATATCAAAAATTTCTTACTCTCATTTGTACTCGCAATACAAAAAAATATTCACATTAATGTAAGAAAAATCTCTTTCTTATTGCCATAATGAAAAGAAAAAAATTGTACTCTCATTACCATTATGTTGGTTGTTTTGTTGTTATACTCTAAACATTCTCATTATTACATTATTGATAAATGGATTAATATGATACATTTCTATTACTGTGATACAGTACATTTTTGCTACATTAACAAAATGCTGTTTTAATAAAATAACCATAAATTTAAACCACCCTACCTTGAATTCATATAAATGTTTTACAATTAAAATTTGACATTACAGAAATGGCAGTTTGGGGGAAAATGTGCTTAATTGTCATGATTTAGTCCAAGACCCAGGCTTAATTTTCTTTAACCAAAATGTAATTTCTAATTTCTTTATGGATTTGGTGGTGGAATATGACCAGGATAGGTTATAAAACACTGTTAATCTCTGTCCAGTCCAAAGTGACGTCTCCACTACCTGTGTGTTTAGCATTCTTTCATAGTCTCCAAGTGTGCTTAAAGAAAAGTGTATTTTTACTATATAACTCATTTAGCTTTCCTGTTGAGCATGTGTCTGCATTCATATGTGTGTGCGGAAGAGAGTAATTGTACGTGTGGGAGTTTGCTGTGAATCATTTTAAATAACTTGCCATTTCTTGACAAATGCCTTTAAGCACCTGCCTGCCATTTTATTTTTGTGATACATGTTGATGTGCCGTTCACTGTTCAGAACATCATTAAAATTAAATGAAAAGCTCTCCTTTCCCCTTATTGAAAGCTGCAATAGAACAGATTTTTCAATATTGTGCAGATCTCACATTATTCCTGTTATAGTCACTCTAAATGCACTTATCTGTGCTGAAATGAAAAAAAGTAACAAGTAATTTCTACAAAGTCACAAATTTTATCAGCTTGCTCTGATTTTTTTTTTTTTTTCAGCTGAGTGCCTACAGGCAATAAAACCAAATGCAGAAATGAAAAAAGCATTTTGTGTAGTAAAAACTAGACGTATACTTTTAGATTAGTGAAGCAGGAAAACAGTAGCATGTCTTTTTTTACCCGCATGTTTTGGGTGTGAGAGAACCAGAGATGCTTTTACTTCTTATATATGAATTTTACTCTGAAATAACATTAAAGTTAAATGGCTTGTAAATGCCGTTTTTAAGTTACAATCCTAACATTACAATCCTGGATTAAAAAAAAAATAAATAAATGTAAAAAATAAACCTTTTGTCTACTGGGTTTAATTAGGTCAGATTATTATTATTTTTTTAAATTAAGGAAAACAGGTTAATTTTGGATGTATTTTTAAACATACAGTACTGGCGTCTCTGGGACCTCAAACATAAAGACACTAAAGTTTGAATTAACCCATAAATGTATGAATGTTTTGCCAATAATTATTGTTGTATATTCAGGTTAGAACCTATATCTAACACAGATCGATCTCTAAACGGCCCCAATAGTATAAAACTGTCCTGAGATTATAATAAAAATTACAAAGCATATTTTGTGATCTGTTGGAAGGGTGCATCTTCTTCACCTTTAACATATTCAGCATCTGGCTAATATTGGGGATCTGAAACATTCAATAGTTAATGTCAAAATGTTTTTGTTTTCATCATTTAAAGTTATAAAGTCAGAATTGTGTGATATAAAGTTGCAATTACTAGTTATAAAGTCAGAATTGCGTTATATAGTCAGAATTGTGAGTTATAAAGTCAGAATTGCGTGATATAAAGTTGCAATTACCAGTCATAAAGTCAGAATTGCGTTATATAGTCACAATTGTGAGTTATAAAGTCAGAGTTGCGTTATATAGTCACAATTGTGAGTTATAAAGTCAGAATTGCGT